ACAGAATTGCCACCTGAACGGGCATACTTCTAGCCAGTGAATATCTATGCTTGCAATGACTAAAGTTTCTAGGTTTTTTACAGTTAATGTTATCTATTAGCATGTCTCCTCTAGATCACATTTATTGAAAGTTTGATGAAGTTAGAACCGAACAAACTGAACCGAACTGCACCAAACCGATTTGTAACGGTTCGGTTTTAAATAAAGGGTGGTTCGGTTCGGGTGTTTAAATTTTGGTAAAAAACCGAACCGACCGACCGTTTGTACACCCCTAAATATCACACCAAATAGAAAGTAAATGATGCCCAACGATCCTACAGATCTTGCATCCCTACATCAAATGGCTGGTTCACTGCTAGTCGGAGTGAATCTGGACTTGTAAACACGTGATGGGGGGGCCCACCACATGTGTGAACGAGAACCAGCCTCGTTTCCGCGTGAAGAGAAGAAGTGGGCCAGACCCACGTGAACACCACCAACCCGATTTGTTTCCGCGTGAACGAGTTCAGCAAGCTATAAAAACCGAAGCTAGGGTATTTTTCGGTGTGTGCAATTGGAGGCGTGGAAGGGTTTTGTGCGGGGTTTTCTTTTGGCGGCTGCAGCAAACACAGAGAACAAAAAGGAGCAGTGCTTTTGGTGGCTATTCAAGGAGGAAAAGCAAGTCTTTTGTAGATGTTCTTTGTTTTTAGCACCCCCTTTGAGAGAGTATTTGTGTGAGGGATCTGAGAGTTTGTGAGAGGGTTTTATTTGTGAGATTATAAACCCCAATTGTATCTCTCTCTCTATTAGTAGATCTCCCCCCTCCTTGCCCCGTGGACGTAGGCTATTTGCCGAACCACGTAAAATTTGTGTTCTTACCGTGATTTGTAATAGCTTGTAGGTTCCCTCGACGCGCAGTCCTAGAGCTGACGAGAAGAAGAGCTGATATCTCACTTTGATGAGATATCTGGCTTTTGGTTCTTGTTTCCTTTGAGAAACGAGAATTTCATTGTGATCTAATCTCTTGTTGTGCACCTTGCGCACCGGAGGTGCTGCCGAAATTTCCGCTGCGCACAACAAGTGGTATCAGAGCTCCGGGTTGGACTTGGGAGCTTGTTTGAAGAATTCGCTGAAGGATTCCTATTTGAACATTAGATCGACAACATGGGTGAAACAAGCACATCGGGATCGTCTCTTACGAAGATGATACATAGTTTGAGCATCAATAACTTGAAGATTGATGTTCCGAAGTTCGACGGCAAGATCAATTTTGGTTTGTGGAGGTGTCAGGTTATGGACGCATTGGACGCTCAGAATTTAGAGGAGACTCTTGAGTTACAAGAGAAACCTGCCGATATGGAAGCTAAGGGTTGGAAGAAGATGAATAGTAGGGCGTGTGGAGTTATTCGGTCATGCTTGACGCCGGATCTTATTTATGACGTAATGAAAAGTATCTTACTAAGAGTATTGAGAATCGGCTTTACCTGAAGAAGAGGTTTTACCAGTTCAAGATGAAGATGGGAGTTTCCATCTGGGAGCATGTTAACAACTTCACGAAGCTACTTTCAGACATGGCCAATGTGGATATTATGGTTGAGGATGAAGATAAGGCGATGCTACTTTTGTGTTCGTTGCCCGATGATGATTATGGTACTTTTTTCCTAACTATGATTAATGGGAGAACTATTGTTAGTTACAAGGAGGTGACCTCAGCGTTGGTGAATTATGAGTTGAGGAAGAGTGTTGATGAGTCCTCCGAGAAGGCATCGGGAGATGCATTAGTAGTTCAAGGCCATGGTTCAAACCGAAGCAGAAGGTCGCGGTCTAGAGGTGCATATCGTGGGATTCGTAGGAATCAGTGTGCCTTTTGTAAAGAGGATGGACATTGAAAAGCTGAATGCCCAAAGTTAGATTGAGCCGAGAAGAATAAGGGGAAAGCTGTACAAGCTTCAGAGATGAATGTTGTCAAGACTAGTGGCAACAATTCAGATTCGGATTCTTCGGGCTATTCGTTGTCTGCACTACCATCAGTTTGTGTTGCCAACTCTACAGAGTGGATGTTGGATTCGGGTGCTTTATACCACGTTTGCCCTAGGAGGGATTGGTTCTCTAGTTTTCAGAAGTTGGAAAGAGAGGATGTTGTGCTCATGGGTAATGGACATGCATGCTCTATTGGTGGTTGGAAAGAGAGGATGTTGTGCTCATGGGTAATGGACATGCATGCTCTATTGGTGGTATTGGTACTGTTCATATTCGGATGTATGACGGAGTGATTCAGGAGTTGGATGAAATGAGGTTCGTTCCGCAGTTGTCGAAGAACATCATTTCACTAGGAGCTTTGGTGGCATCTGGCTATAAAGTGACCTTGGTGGATGCATGTTTGAAGGTCACATTGGGGTCCATGATTATGATGAAGGGCGTCAGAAGGAGCAATTTGTATTATTTGCTCGGAAGCACGGCGATTGATAGGGAGATGACGACTTCATCAGATTTGGCTAGACTGTGGCGTTGTTTGATGCTGGGTTATTTAATTGGTAATACCGTGCATAGGTTATTGAGGAGTGCTTTGACCTGTAGTTTGAAGTCCTGTGAACCCATTGGTATGAGCAAGAAGACCGAGGTGGAGTTTTACACTTCTATCCATCATTCGAGGGGTCTTCTGAGGGGTGTTCATTCAGGCATTCGGGAGCTTCCAAGGGAGCATTATTGGGAGGTAATAGGTATGTGGTTTCCGCAGTTGGGGATTGTTCTAGGCATTGGTGGGTTGCAACCAAGTCCCGTTGGTGTGAAGTCCTAGAAGCCCGCAACAAATGGAGGAAGTGTATTGGCAGAAAAGAAGCCCGCAACAAATGGAGGAAGTGTATTGGCAGAAAGGTGAAGGTACTTCAGTCTAATGTTAGGGGGGAGGTACAAGAGAGACCTATTTCTGCATTTATGCTGAGCTCACGGCAATTGGAGACACTTCATTAGTGTGGAAACTTTGAGGCGACGTGATGAGATAGCAGATTTGGAGAGCTGTTCCTTTCTGGAGGAGGATCGACGGTTGATGTCGAGCATTGGCATTGGTGTGCGGGCTACGACATGTTTGGGCTATCTTATGTTTAGGGTGCCGACTGCTGCATGTAGAGATTTTAGATCTGATGGAGATGCTTCAGATTTTGGGTTGCGTCAGATGTTTGGCTACCCAGCACTTCGTCACATCATGGATGTGAGATTTGATCCGATAGCACATTTGGGATTCAGAGGCGTGTTTAATTATCAGGTATTGGCTTCTGACTTTGTTCTGAGCAGGTATGTCACGTTTAACTCTCGGCAGGTGGAGAGTGGTGATAAGAACATTAGGATATCGCAGCAGGTAGAGAGTGATGCTACTCCACGTTGGGTGGAGACTCCAGATCATACTGTATCATTTGGGATTTCAGCTGATGTGACACAGATTGGGAATCATGTTGTTTTGGATGCACATGATAGGTTGATTGATTCGAGTGCAGCTGATAGATGTAGTCTGGATATGGCCATTGGTTCATCTCAGGTGGAGATGTTTGGATTATTTCAGTTTGGGGCCATTGGAGATGCTATCAGCCGTAGACTTGATCGTGATGTTGGAGAAGGGTTGCTAACTCTTCTAGTGGATTGAGGCCTTTTGAGGCCATTTGGGTGAACTACGTTCGGCTTGATTCCTTGAGCAAGAGGATACGTAGGCAGTCTTTACGATGCAGCCGGTTTGGATTTTGATGGGGTGAGATAGATTTGGTGAGTAGACACTATTGGTTTGGGGTGAGTGTTCGCACTCCCGTTTGGGTCTCGACTTGTTATGGATTGAGTCCATTGTCGTGAATCGTTTTTTACTTCGTACTGGATGCAACAAGTGAGGCATTTGATTTGGATGGTGTCGGCTCAGTTTTAGGAAAACTTCGCCGAGGTGGAGAATTGTAAACACGTGATGGGGGGCCCACCACACGTGTGAACGAGAACCAGCCTCGTTTCCGCGTGAAGAGAAGAAGTGGGCCAGACCCACGTGAACACCACCAACCCGATTTGTTTCCGCGTGAACGAGTTCAGCAAGCTATAAATACCGAAGCTAGGGTATTTTTCGGTGTGTGCAATTGGAGGCGTGGAAGGGTTTTGTGCGAGGTTTTCTTTTGGCGGCTGCAGCAAACACAGAGAACAAAAAGGAGCAGTGCTTTTGGTGGCTATTCAAGGAGGAAAAGTAAGTCTTTTGTAGATGTTCTTTGTTTTTAGCACCCCCTTTGAGAGAGTATTTGTGTGAGGGATCTGAGAGTTTGTGAGAGGGTTTTATTTGTGAGATTGTAAACCCCAATTGTATCTCTCCCTCTATTAGTAGATCCCCCCCCTCCTTGCCCCGTGGACGTAGGCTATTTGCCGAACCACGTAAAATTTGTGTTCTTGTCGTGATTTGTAATAGCTTGTAGGTTCCCTCGACGCGCAGTCCTAGAGCTGACGAGAGGAAGAGCTGATATCTCACTTTGATGAGATATCTGGCTTTTGGTTCTTGTTTCCTTTGAGAAACGAGAATTTCATTGTGATCTAATCTCTTGTTGTGCACCTTGCGCACCGGAGGTGCTGTCGAAATTTTCGCTACGCACAACAGGACTGTAGTCTCTGATTACAGTCTCTGGTGTGCTTATCCTTGGATTGGTATTTATCCCATTATTATGGATTCTAGGTGAACAATTCATCATCATCGTAGGATTAATTCTATGATTTGTACTTTGATTCATTCTTGTCGAAGGACACATTGTCAGAAAATGAGAACCGCGGCTTGCAAACGGAGTCCTTTGGTTTGGGGAATTAGGCCCATAAACTCTAGTATTCATTGAAGGATGCGTGTTGTGATTCATGTTGGCAACAAGAGGTGATGTGTTGCCTGAAATAATCATAGAATTTTACAGAATGAAAAATCCGACATGAACCAAGAGGCTGAAGTTGATTTTTTTACTTTATAATCCAAGGACAAAAAATTGGGAAGAATAGTTGAAAATTGCTAGAAATAAACATACATGCATATTGTTGCACGTTCCCAGGATTGCCAATATAAGCTCGAGTGTTCCCTGCAAAATTAATGAAATGTTACAAAATGAACACAAATGAAGAACTGACTTTCCTATAGAGTAATCGAGGCACATAGGATTTGTGAGGGTCCTTTGAACACAGCAGGGTAAACAAAAACTCCAAGCTGGCATTGAATTAAAACTGATTTTCCTTCGGAATCCAAGCAAATCAGGGGGAAACAATAGAAAGAATAACTAAAAATTGTTGAAAGTTACCATACATGGGTTAATTTGAATATTGTTTCGGCTGATACATGGAATATCTAAAAATGAGGAACTTTAGGTGTAAAATGCAGTTAATTGAACATAATTCAAGCTTGATAATGAGATAAATATTGTAGTTCATGTATAGTACAATTAATTTTCCTCTCTAGAATATGAGAAATTCACAAAAATAGAAAGAATATATCCAAGAGTGCAAAGATAATTATACCTGCTGGATCACAATTAGGAAGAGAAACAAAAAGAACTTCACCGGGAAAATTTTGGTTGCTAACGTAAGCCGGTGTGCTACCTGCAAAATTCATAAGATTTCACAAAATTAAAGCAATGATGGAACTTCGGATGCAATATGCAGTGAATTGGAAATAGCTTCAGGCTTGATCAGAAAATGTAATGCATAATTTTTATTGGTTGCTAGCATAAGCCAATGTGTTTATTATTTTAGAAACAAAGGATAAACACAAAAAATAGGAATATGAATTGCAGTTGCGAAAATAACCAGACCTATTTGCTCACCATTAGGCACGGGTACAGAAGGAACTCCACTGGGAAAATCTTGGTTGCTAATATTAGCTGCTGTGCTGCCTGCAAAATTCATAAATTTTTACAGAATTAACATAATGAGAAAGTTCAGCTGTAAAATGCAATAAATTCTAGCCTAATACAGCTGCTCATAATATTCTGCTCTCGTCGACTATGAAATATGCCAAGTGATTTTCATTCGTAATCTAAGGGGGTGTTTGGTTCAATTTCTAGAAATTATAGGAAATGTTTTCCACCTAAAATATGATTTCCTTGTATTTCTTAAAAAATTTATAGGAAAAGTTTTGAGAAATCAAAATGTACCAATTTTCTTATTTTTTGTACTTTGCTTGTTTGGTTCAAAACAAGAAAATAGCTCATAACTTTATAGAAAATAACAAGATTTGGTAGGTTTTTAATTAAATATGGTATGTGTCAGATTTCTGATGATTTCCTCTCATTTTGAGAGGAAATTGCTTTTTGTAAAATTTGGTAGGTTTTGATATTTTATAGAAAATATTTCTGTAAATTTTTTGTTGAACCAAACACAATTTACAGAAATCTCTGGAAAACTTTTAATTACAAATTTACCATTGTCAGATGTTTTGAGAAAAGTTTTCTCAAAAAGTGTGCAACCAAACATCCCCTAAGGGAAAACCAAAAATAATAAGAAAATATTGCAAAAATGTCAAATAATCATACATGATGGATCACCATTAGGAGATTTAGAAAACTCCTCCACTTGGTAAAATTTCGATTCCCAACATAAGATGCGCTACAATAAATTGGAACTAAATTCAAGCTTTAGGGTTAATCAAGAAATACAATGCGTAAGTCTTGAATAATGTAACCACCAAAAATGTTCTATTTGCATTCAATCATAACGTTGCAATTGAATTTCCTCTAGAATGCAAGGAAAACAAAAAAAATTAGGAAGTAATTAAATATTGTAAATATTTGGAAGCAATCGTACGTGATGGATCACCATTAGAATTTCTCTGATTCATGGCATTTTTCTGATGCACGAGGAGCTCATTGTATTTTCCAATCTGTTTCTTGATCACAACCAACATATTGTAAAGCCTGAAGAATGTAGGATTCTGATTCTCTAGTTCTTCCCAGACTGTATGTATAAAAACAAAAGCAAAAATCCTAAAGTTTTAGTGGCTATAACATGAAATTTATAAAAATGTAAAATTAGAAAAATCAAGCAAACTAAATACTCAGTTCAGCGTATGCAGGTTCTCGGCGTTCTTCAATGTATAAATACGCTATTGTTTCATTTTTTGTCATGTATCGACGAAGGCATTTGGCCACAATAATGTCTTTCATCTGAAATAAAATGTTAAAAATATTAGAACATATTCAGGATTCTTTTTTCCTTCTTTTTTTTTCTGGAAAATATACTGAATAATACTAATTTGAAAGATAATCTAAATAAAAATAAGGACTCAAACAGAAGATAAAATCTAAGGTATCATGATTAAAGAAACTTATCTCTGAAAGAAGTCTGTATACATTATTATCATTAATCACTAATAGAATAATTATGCCAAAATAAACTGCATCATGATGGAAATAAAAGGGATTAAAACTAACAGACCCCAAAAATCTTTTAAACATGAAATCAAAGATTTGGGTTCACATCAAAAGATCTTCTTGCTGCTATTAAACTTATTTATTTTGCTAATAAAATTTCTGCATTTATCAAAACAACACAAAACTTCCATTATTCAGGCCAATTAAATACAAGAACTATAAACTTCATCAAGAAATCATTTGCCGATAAAAGAAAGAAAAATTAAAAAGTATATAACATAAGAAACCTTAATGTTCTCTCAATTGTGCAATACCCAAATCAAATATTTAGAACAGAAAAAGGGAAAAATATATTACCTCAAAAAAGAAGAAATCAATAAAGAAAGAGAGAAATGCTTACACTGTCAATTTCAATACAGCGCCTTGCTCTTCTGATCTTCTCCTCAGTCTCGGGTGTCGGAGGATTTCGGCGAACCATTAATGACCTTGCCATTACTGATAATCAATGATCTGAAAGCAAATGAGAAGTAATTGTTGAGTGTTTTTATTAGACTTATTGAAGAGGATGGAGGAATAAAGCGAGAGAAAGAGGGAGGTTTCCATAGTAGTTAGAGTTGTTCTGTTTTTTCAGTTGGGGCATTTAAAACTGATTATAGAATCCAAGAAAATGTTAGGGGGAGATTTTTTTTATTGAAAAAAAGAGTGCTTTAAAGAAATTGGTGTCCACTTCCACTATCCATTTCTTGAATTAAATTGGATTGTTATTCATGTCATCCAGAATTAATATTTAAATTTCATGAAAATCTTAATTAACATCTGTATTAGATATCCACTATCTAATACTGTTGTACGGTTCAAAGACGACCAAACCCTATTTTTTGCATTATGCTTGTAAAATCATAGCAACTTGCTCCTCGATGGAAACATATATGGTATCTTTAAGAAGTCTAGACTTCAACAATCGAACAAGGTTAAAAAATGGACCCCTATCCATTCTTAAGTAGTCATATGCATATGTTCTGCCGCCATAGAACAATCGGTAGAACAATCGGTAAATGTAAGCATTTCTCAATGAATCTCTCAACTCGGTTGGTTCCCTAGGAGTTACTTCTCTTTTATTCTCAAACAACATAAAGTAAGCACACACTATACACGCCACATATGTAGCAAAGCAACTTAGTGTAGCATCGCTAGCTTTTGAAGGTTCTGTATTCTACATAAAACAAACAAATAAAACAATGTTATAAAACTTAAAAAATCAGCACACGTGGTTATTATAAAAATTCGCCAATTTATTTCTCACATCAACAAAAAATAATGATTCTGACATCCTAGTTGTATTGTTGTCTCTAAAATCTATTTTCTCATGCTACCTATTCTTGTTAAATCTGTTATACCAGTAAACTCATAAAAACTACATTTCACTTGTAGATGCTATATATTTCACCGTTTTAAGAAAATTAAGAAGAATGATATGAAACTATTGTGAAACGAGATGCCACTGTGATTATGAAAAAACTAAAAACACAATAACCAACCTTAACCAAGGGCCCAAAACAAAACAGACAACATTGCTTCTTTATTTAAGGTAATGATGGTCCAACCCACCACATAACTACATAGACCTTAATCATTTCATAGAAAAAAAAAAACCCCCCCCCAAAAAAAAAAAAAAAAAAAAAAAAAAAAAAAACACCCGTCCACACACACACAAATGTATATACATATATGTAGATACACATATGCATGCACACAGGCACACATATTGTTTATGCACAATAGACTCATATAAACATGTGCTGGCAGAACAGACATCTGGCATTCATATACCTATTGTACCTTACCTACCCATGGAACCAGACTGATACAGGCATATAAAGTCAAACTGGAAAGGAACGTACTAAACATAGGCAAGGCATTGAGACATAATAATCATGCACATTCATTTCTTTGATGGGAGATAAAAATCTCATATTTAAGCCTGAATTTGACTTCATTGAATATATGTATTGTTATCTTCTTTTCCTTTTTGTTTCCATAAAAAGTTGGTGCGGTACGCATTGCAGTAACATGTTTTATTGAAAACTTTTCTATTAATAAAGAGATAAATAGATAGAAAAATAAAGATATTAACAAAAGCTCCTGCAGAGAAAGAAATTATGAAGTTCGCAAGGTCGACAAATGAACAAATTAAGCAAAAAAACAAAAAAAATCCCATCAGTACATAGGATCATGTACGAACCATCAAAAACACGTTTTGCCACTCCCACGTGCACGTGAAGACGCGTTTGAAGACGCGTGAGTTTTGCAGGCCCACGAACGCGCGTGAACAGGTCCCACGTGAGTGCTTGAGGGTTTCGTTTCCACGTGAGTGCTTGAAGGTTTCGGTTTGTTTCCTGGACAATCACTGGCCCACCCGTTTGTCATTTGTGTATATATATAGACCTGGTTAATTGACCTAAGTTGGGTGTGCAATTGGGGGAGTGTAGTGTTTGCGGCTGCAGAGGAGAACAGGGTGTGCGCAGGAGATTGTTTTGTGGCTGCGGGTATTTTTTTCGGCAGGAAAAATCGCAGCAGGAGATTGGGAGAAAAGCATAAGCTTTTAGGGTTTTGTGCATCCCCTTTTGTAGAGAGATATTGTGAGGGATTTGAGAGTTTGTTTGAGGGTTTAGATCTTATGAGTGATTGTAAACCCTAGTTGTAATCTCTCCCTCTAGTAGTAGATCTCCCCCTCCACTAGTAGAAAATCAAGTTTTGTAGACGGAATATTCTAGACGGAAATTTTTCCGTCTAGTTTGGAATATTCTAGACGGAAAATTTCCGTCTAGAATATTCCGTCTAGGATAAATTATTCTAGACGGATATTTCCGTCTAGAATAGTATCCTAGACGGTTTTTATATATTTATTTTTTTTTAAATATAATCAGGTATCCTAGACGGAAATTTCCGTCTAGGATACATCCTAGACGGAAATCTCCGTCTAGGATGTTCATGTACTTTTAGAAATAAAATTAAAACAGTAAAAACCGTTCCCCCCAAAAAATTTCCATTCCCCCCAAATTTATCTGCCCATTTAAAAGCAACAAAGCTCTCTCTCTCTCTGTCTTCCCAAAACCTCAAACTCACTCCCAAAACTCAACCAAACCCTAGACCCTAAACCCCTAATAATGGCGTCGGACACCAGCAAACCCTTCTTCCTCGTCGAATCCCGTCACCAGCTCTCCGGCCTCCGCTGCCCTCCCCTCTCAAAACCCGCGTCGTCGTCTTCGTCGGCCGTAGCTAAATTTATTCCTCACCTAGATATCCTTTTCATTTATTTATTCACTTTCTTCTCGCCTGCGCTCAATTTATCGTGAATTTTACTTTTCTTTTTACGATTTTTAATCTCTATGGGAGACGAAGAAGTGAGATCGGAGGAGTCCGTTAATGGCGGTACGGATGTCCTGAGCTCTTCAGACGATTCTGCCTCGTGTGCTGGTCATCTCGTTGTGATGGCCCATGGAATCCTTGGAAGGTAAAGTTTTGAACTTTTCCAGGGTTCGAATTGTTAAATTCGTGGCGTAATCGAAGTTTGGTCTCGAATTGGGGTGTTGATTGTGTAATTTGCTTAAAGATTGGGGTTTGATTGGGAATTTTTGGATTTTTCCAGGGTTCGAATTGTTAAATTCGTAGCGTAATCGAAGTTTGGTCTCGAATTGGGGGTGAATTTTTGTGAAATGACAATGTTAGCTGAAATTGTGTTAAAACAGTAATCAGAGCGATACAATATCTAATCGTTAAAATACAGTTACTTTATATAAAATAGTTCAATTATTAAAACTTTTGTTCTTAGAGTGCAGCAATTATTAATCCCCTTTATCTCTATACGTATCTTGATTTGGTTCTAGTATTATATACAAGCGTTAAATAATCTTCTTTGAGGTTGATAATGTATGAGTGCCAATTAAAAGATTTGTAGAGAAAATGATATTCTCATGTATAGTCACTGAGATTAGATGCCCAAAGACACATTTGCTTCATGCGATGTACTATGAGTATTCTCGGAAGTTACAAATTGTGTAAGTATTAGTTATGCTAAAAATATTTGTCAAAAGTTGAGGTGGGATCTCAGAATGGGTATTTTGCTGCTTACATAGCCACTTCAATTTGATTGTTGTTTGCAAGTTGTACATATTTTATTTTGCATTGTTCTAGTTCTTTGCTTTACTTACCTTTAATGCTGTAAGTCTTAAAAGTATACCTCCTCGTTGCAGTACTGCAGACTGGCAATATGGAGCTAACCAATTTATTAAAGCTCTTCCTGACAAAGTGATAGTCCATTGTAAGTTATACTTACTAGATATTCCTTCTTTGTGTTCACCTTCTTTCTCTTTTAATTTGATAGCCCTTCCAGTGATATGTTGTGCATGTGTTAGCACTTGAATTCTTTTTTTTTTTTAGACCTATTATGGTGATGCCATTCAAAATGTCATATGCATTATAAACTCTTTATGGTCTTGCATTTTCCTTATTGTGAAATGCGCATCAAGCTCCCATCATTTCCAAAACCAAATAAGCAGTAGCATTTATCTAAGAGTGCAGTAGTGAACTCCTGTGTTTTGTCTAGTTTAATATTGTAGGATCAACGTCTGTCAATTTGGATAAGGCTTGACTCTTCCATGTTAGATAAGCTATGATACGAGACAAATCCGTGCCTTGCATGGGTCTGAAACTAGTGTCTTAATGACCAGCAAGAGTTTTAATTTCATCATATAATAATTATGCTGACAATTATCCCAAACAAAACAAATGTGCTCACACTATAATTACTTCACATAACTAACCGTATCACATCTTTTGTCATTGTTCTGATGACTGTTCTCAAAGAAGCTTCATCCTCTTCTATTTATTATGGGGCTCGTAACATGTAATGTATGCAATAAACTTAGCAATATCTGGCAAGTCGTTATCCACGTTTCTAGCTCGTGGATGATTAATAGAATCTAGATCAAAAATCTTAATTAGGTCAGATTTAGATTGAATATATTTGATTTAATCACCTTTCAATTATACATACTTATTTGGTTATTTGAATTTATCAAAATGTATGGGTATCTAGCACTTATTAATTAAGATCTAGATCTAAATCTTTGTTATGTTCGCATGGAGCCTGCTCATTTAGATTGGAAACAATGTAGGTCATTTTGTTAGCAAATTGAAAGAACTGTATGCCTAAATAATTGAAAGTCATAAACTTTTCCTATGTGGGATGCATTTTGTAGGCAGAAACGCTGCAATTGGTGTGGTTTTTGGGTAAATTTCAATGACGCAAAAGTGATGCTTTTCTGCTGTTGATTTCACTTATCTCAACTGACTGTTCATTTTAAACCTAGATTTATATCTTGGGAGCTCAGTCAAGGCATCCAAAGCATACGAGAAAGTTCATTACAGTATGCAAATGACAATGCCTTGCAGCTTGCCAAGGTGAGTAAAATTCTGAATCCTTTTTTTGTGGCTTTTGTTCATTCAGTAGTTAATCTACAAAATTTTGGTTCTTCCCTCTTTTGGCTACTTGTGAGGAAGTATATGCAATCAAGGATTTTTTTTTCTCACTATAACTTAGTATATTTGATTGTAGAGTTTCACTTGCATCTAACAAACCGACCAGACAATATAACTCGATGCATTTGAGTCAAAAGTCCAAACAGCTATATAACTTATAGTTTGTATGCGTCAATACTACACCTAATTTGTTGTTGATTGTTTTCTAATAGAGCAGCCAAGGCCACTACAACTAGTGAGTAGAGCAGATTTTCCAGATCTTTAGGAACAATATCAACCTTATATCATCAGTATTATAGGTAACTGATCATACAAAAGTCGTTTAATATCATCAGCTACCTTATTGGCAATTCCTTAATGTACTTTTCTGCAGATTCAACTGGAGACAATGGTGATATAAAGGAATTTGTATAAAGATAAGTGTGAACGTTTCTGAAAATGCTCCATTAAACACAGTATTCGCTCCAGTTGCATCCCATCCCTCGCAACAACAGAAGCATCAAAGCAAACAAAAAAACAACAGATCTCCTACCAGTCCTCTAAACTCCAAAGAGAGATGTGAAGGAGATGATGATAGCGAAGATGCTGAGCAGACAAACTCAGATTCATTACCACTTCATCTTCCTCTCAAACAACTACTGCATCGGCTACCCTTGTCAGAGTTTGTTAATAGAGATGATTCCAGATTAGTTTCGTTCCCTCTTTTTGTAAAGAGAAGCGACATAAATATATGCGTATGTATACAGACTTCTCTGAGCGTGAGAACAACTGTTAGCCTGTGTCTTCATGTTGTTTAGTAAATTTCATACATTAAAAGTTCATATATGTATTTAATTTGGTGAATGTATTATTTGAGGAATTTCCGTCTAGAATACTACATACTAGACGGAAATAAACTAGACGCGTATTCTAGACGGAATTCCGTCTAGAATACGCGTCTAGTTTATTTCCGTCTAGTATGTAGTATTCTAGACGGAAATTCCGTCTAGAATACATCCTAGACGGAATATTCTAGACGGAATTCAAAACCGTCTAGAATACATCCTAGACGGATTATTCTAGACGGAATTTCCGTCTAGAATAATTTATCCTAGACGGAAAAAAATTCCGTCTAGAATAAGTATTCTAGACGGAAATTTCCGTCTAGAATACTTATTCTAGACGGAATTTTTTTCCGTCTAAGATGAATTATTCTAGACGGAATTCCCGTCTAGAATAATCCGTCTAGGATGTATTCTAGACGGTTTTTATTTCCGTCTAGAATATTCCGTCTAGGATGTATTCTAGACGGAAATTCCGTCTAGAATACAGTATTCTAGACGGAAACATACTAGACGCCTATTCTAGACGGAATTCCGTCTAGAATAAGCATTCTAGACGGAAATTTGGGTATCCTAGACGGAATTTTCCGTCTAGGATACCTCATTATTTAGCAGTGCTCCTTGCCCCGTGGACGTAGTCAATTTGCCGAACCACGTAAAATTTGTATTTTTATCGCGATTTGTAATAGCTTGTAGGTTCCCACGACGCGCAGTCCTAGAGCTGACGAGAGAAAGAGCTGATATCTCACTTTGATGAGATATCTGGCTTTTGGTTCTTGTTTCCTTTGAGAAACGAGAATTTCGTTGTGATTTAATCTCTTGTTGTGCACCTTGCGCACCGGAGGTGCTGCCGAAATTTTTCGCTGCGCACAACAAGTGGTATCAGAGCCAGGTTGGATTTGGGAGCTTGTTCAAAGGATTCGCTGAAGGATTCCTATTTGAAGAATTAGATCGATAACATGGGAGAAACAAGCACATCGGGATCGTCTCTTTCGAAGGCGATCCAGAGTCTGAGCATCAATAATACAAAAATTGATGTTCCAAAGTTCGACGGTAAGATCAATTTCAGTTTGTGGAGATGTCAGGTGATGGACGCCTTGGATGCACAAAATTTGGAGGAGACTCTTGAGTTACAAGAGAAACCCGCTGATATGGAGGATAAGGTTTGAAAGAAAATGAATAGTAGGGCTTGTGGAGTTATTCGGTCATACTTAACGCCGGATCTTATTTATGACGTAATGAACGAGACGTCGGCGAAGAGAATGTGGGAAACACTCAATGAGAAGTATCTGACGAAGAGCATTGAGAATCGGCTTCACTTGAAAAAGAGGTTTTACCAATTCAAGATGAAGAGGGGAGTTTCCATTCGGGAGCATGTTAACAACTTCACGAAGCTAATTTCGGATATGACCAATATAGATATCATGGTTGAGGATGAAGACAAGGCGATGCTACTATTGTGTTTGTTGCCGGAGGATGATTTTGGAACGTTTGTTCTCACTATGATAAATGGAAGAACTACGGTTAGCTACAAGGAGGTGGCCTCAGCTTTGGTGAATTATGAGTTGAGGAAGAGTGATGGCGAACCCTCCGAGAAGGCATCGGGAGATGCATTAGCAGTTCGAGGCCGTGGTCCAAACCGTCGTCCAGGTGATCGCTCAAGATCGAAGTCAAGAGGTGGCCATAGAAATATTGGTAGGAATCAATGTCGCTTTTGCAAAGAAGAAGGACATTGGAAGAACGACTGCCCAAAGTTGAAAGATAAAGCCGGGAAGAATAAAGGGAAAGCTGTACAAGTTTCGGAAGTGAATGTTGTCAAGGCTAGTGATGACAATTCAGATACAGATTCTTCAGGCTATTCCTGCTTTGCACTACCGTCAGTTTGTTACGCTAACTCTACGGAGTGGATGATGGATTCTGGTGCTACATACCATATTTGTCCTAGGAGGGATTGGTTCTCTAGCTTTGAGGAATTAGAAAGAGGGGATGTCGTGCTCATGGGTAATGATCACGTATGCCCTATTGGTGGTATTGGTACAGTACGGATCCGGATGTGTGACAGGATAACTCGGGAGCTGAAGGAAGTGAGATTTGTTCCTCAATTGATGAAGAATATCATTTCGCTTGGAACTTTGGAGGCAGTTGGCTATAAGGTGATCTTGGAGAATGCGACTCTGAAGGTCACAAAGGGGTCAATGGTGGTGATGCGAGGTGTCAGGGAAAATAACATTTACTACTTGAAGGGCAAGACAGTAACAGGGGGTCTGGCAGCTTCGATTACCACAGAGGAAGATACTACCAGTTTATGGCACATGAGATTGGGACACACTGGTGATAAGTCCCTGCAGGTATTGGCGAAGCAGGGGCTATTGAAGGGTGCAAAGACCTGCAAGATGGAGCTGTGTGAACATTGCATACTTGGGAAGAAGACAAGAGTAAAATTCGGCACCGCTATTAATAATACCCAAGGTATATTGGACTATATTCACACAGATGTTTGGGGCCCTTCCAAACACACATCACTTGGTGGGGCCAACTATTTTATTACTTTCATTAATGACTATTCCAAAAGGAATTGGGTATACCCAATGAAGCATAAACATCAGGTCCTGGATATTTTTGTGGAGTGAAAGAAGAAAGTGGAGCTACAGACAGGTAGAAAGGTAAAAACTCTTCGTTCGGACAATGGAGGAGAGTATAAGAGTGATCCGTTTTTGCAGTTTTACCGGGATCACGGTATTAGACGACACTTCACAGTACATGAGACACCGCAACAGAACGGGGTGGCTGAAAGGTTGAACCGTACCTTGCTGGAGAAGGTGCGATGTATGATGACACAGAGTGGATTGTCAAGATCCTTTTGGGCCAAAGCGTTGGTTTATGCGAGCCATCTCATAAATAGGTTGCCGTGCACTACGATACAGGGGAAGACTCCATTGGAGCGTTGGTCTGGTTCGGTAGCTAGTGACTATGAGTCACTTCGGATATTTGGGTGTCCAACTTATTACCATATCAATGATGGTAAATTGAATCCGAGGGCGAGGAAAGTAGTCTTTGTGGGATTTAGAGATGGAGTTAAAGGCTTCAAGTTATGGGATCTACAGGATAAGAAGATAGTTATTAGCAGTGAGACATACATGATGAGGCCTCAAGTTCCTCAGCAGATGGAGGAAGACCATATTTGAGAGATATCACAGCAGGCGGAGGATGATGTGACTCCACCCACTCCAGATAGCATTGTATCCATTGAGGCTCCTACAGAGGTGACACTAGGAGGAGATGAGATGACAGCCGAGCATTTAGAGGATACAGTAGATGTTGGGACCCAGGAACAGGGTCATGTTCAGGAGTCCATTGCAGCTAATAGACTAAGAAGAAACATTCGTCGGCCAGCTAGATATGACGATGTCATGGTTGCATATGCTTTATCAGCAGAAGTCGTTGATGATTTAGTTCCTTCTACATTCAAGGAAGCAGAGTCAAGCTCTGATTCGATTAGGTGGAGGGAAGCTATGGAGGAAGAGATGCAGTCTCTTCATAAGAACGACACTTGGGAACTTGCAACGCTACCGAAAGGTAAGAAGGCTATTGGATGCAAGTGGGTGTATGCAAAGAAAGAGGGATCTTCTATTAGGAAAATTAGATTCAAAGCCTGATTAGTTGCTAAGGGATATGCACAGCTAGAGGGCGTTGATTACAACGAGGTATTTTCACCTGTTGTGAATCATTCGTCGATTCATATTTTATTAGCATTGGTGGCACAACTGGATTTAGATTTGGTCCAGATGGATGTTAAAACAGCCTTTCTACATGGGAATTTAGAAGAGGAGATCTACATGACACAACCTATGGGGTTCAAAGCTGTAGGAAAGGAAGAATTGGTATGCAAGCTGAAGAAGTCTCTTTACGGATTGAAGCAATCACCGTGACAATGGTACAAGAGATTTGACGGCTTTATGATTGGCCGAGGGTACACGAGGAGCCCATATGACCCGTGTGTTTACATGCACAAGCTACAGAATGGTGAGTATATCTATTTGCTGTTATATGTTGACGATATGCTCATAGCTTCCAGGAATACTTCAGCTATTAGAAAGTTAAAAAAGGAGCTGTCATCCGAATTTGAGATGAAGGATCTTAGAGAAGCAAAGAAGATATTGGGTATGGAGATCGAGAGAGACAGGGTGAAGGGGAGGTTGAAGTTGACACAGAGGAGTTACTTGCAGAAGATGCTGAAGAAATTCAGTTATGATGGCAATGTCAAGGCGGGGAGTACTCCATTAGCTCCCCACTTTAAGCTATCAGCTAAGATGTCACCTGTTTCAGTTGAGGACCGGGAATACATGTCCAAAGTTTCATATGCCAATGCTGTGGGTAGCTTGATGTATGCGATGGTGTGTACAAGGCCAGATTTGTCACAGGCCGTGAGCATGGTATCTAGGTACATGCACGACCCCGGGAAGGGTCATTGGGAGGCCGTGAAGTGGATTCTAAGGTATATCAAAGGTACCGTGGATGTTGGTTTGGTATTTCAGAAGAATGAGAAGAGCGAACAGGATTGTATTGGTTACGTGGATTCTGATTATGCGGGGGATCTGGACAAGCGCCAGTCTACTAGCGGATATGTGTTTACACTAGCAGGAGCACCGGTATGTTGGAGATGCACACTTCAGTCTACAGTAACTCTCTCTACTACAGA